AAAATAATGAGTTATTCATTAATTCAATATGTTAAATGCATTTTAAATGCTAGCAATAAAACTAAATTACCTATTTTATATACAGAATATGTTGTAACAGCCTCCTCCTACAGCTAAGAAATCCATTCAAGTCCTTGCTGTATACCAATTGGATCACTTTCTTACTGAAACATTCATATTTCTAATAAAGAGTAATTGAAAAACGCAAAAGGATAGAAATGTGAAAAAAAAATTAATACCATCTTATTAATTTCTTAAAATGATTTTATAGACATGCAATTTCTTAATGCATTATTTAACTTTAAAAGCTTCAATCATGCCTATAATTAAGCGATGAGTAGTTCTTCCACAGTAACAAACTATAAAAAGACCCCTGAGCTAGATCTGTATTGCAGATGCTGTAATGAAGTCAGGAAACAGTGAGTGAAGTGTGGCTGAAAGATGCATTCAGTAAGGGCTTTTGGAATCAAAAAAAGGGGATACTATATAATCTTTATAACCATTAGAACCAAGACTCAAAAAATAGCATAGCAGTGAGAAGGAAAGCGGTTGACAGAGTCAGTGGGAGCAGTGCAAACAGGGGGCCCACAAGTTGACTTCCATGTTTTACATGAAGTAAAACTGGTAATTTGGAACTGAATGATGACAGAACACTTTTGCTTTAAGTAATCATTGTATATGCTGAGGAGTACCAGAGGCTCAAAGGTCTGTGTTTATATTTCTGTATATAATGTCTACCTTAACACAATACCTCATTTATTGTCATTGCTTTACAAGACCTTGTGTGCAAATGACAGAACTAAGGCGAACAGATAAGAGGTAATTATAATGAGATGTGTGTCACATGGAGGTGTGCACCTACCGTGGTTTTCACAGACTTAAATAAATTGATTTAAAACTGGTTTTAATTATACCAGTAGGACAACTGTGTGCTGATAGGGCATCAGTTTCTCTGTTTTGACATAGCCAAGGGCTTTTAGTGTCTATGATCTACTTACATCTTATGCAATGTATAGGTGTGTTAACATACATTATCAACTGATTAGGGTAGTGAGGCAAGTCTAAATACTGAAACAAAATCATGTAAAGAACCAGATTCTCCTCTCATTTACACTGACATAATTTAAGTCATTGGATGTAATTTAGGAGTTACCCTACTGTCTGGAAAAAAACTAGCCAACAAACTGATTTTGTGAGAAAAAGGTTTTTTTTTTAAATACTAGAGCAAAATTAACCAGAAATTACTAAGTAAAAAAAAAAAAAAACCCAAACCAACAACCAACCCCAAAACCCCCAAAATTGTTACAAAGTGATACTTTTAGTGCCTATCACCAGAAATTTTAATCTTTAACCTTTGCCTCTCTAACATTTACCTAAATACCTTTTGCCTGTTGGAAGCATTAGCTCTAAGCCCTAAGGAACCATGTAATTTGCCTTGGATTTTTCTTGAATAAAGTCTTTTCCTATACAGCTAAAAAAGAAAGGGGCTAGGAAACTTTGCTTGAGGGCCATGGATCAAATAAACTGGATCCTTGATTCTCCATGCTGCTTAATAATCATCTAATTTACTGTCTCTGCTTTGGGCAGCACCAGTTGGTTTTTCCTGAGCAATACTCAGGTTTAGTTTGTTAGATAGTTCATTCCAGGAACAAGATCCAGAAGGACAATGGATAGCACTTGCTTGGCTCAACAGAGTTTATCCTCACATTACACCCTATTCATGCAATTCAGAATTCAGCATCACCGTAAAACAGCAACAACTGCAGGCTGGTCTGCAACAGAGAGATATTTCAGAAACTGATGTAACATCTCCTCCTACGGCAGGAAGTGTACACGGTACCCGAAAGTGCCCCAGCCAGGGATGCATCCTTGGACTTGGTCTGTGGATGCAGTCAGACACTCTGGTAGAAAAAGAAATGCAAACCAGCGTGAAAGACAAGCAGATACTAACAAGGTTGGTTAGACACTGCTTCACTTTTTTTATGTCTGATTTAAATTTAATAAGGTGATGTTACTTTCAAAGATTTAAATAATGTAAGAGTTATTTCAGGTATCTTGGCAAACTTCATGGAATGCAAATCTTAACTGAGGAGGACTGGTCTAATCCTGAAGTGCCAACCACTTGAGCATGGGTCAGGTGCACTCCAAGAGGCTCTCCTCCATGAAAACATCTGGATTGGGAGCTATCCATAGGAAATACTCATTTGAACCCGGGTTCGATTCCCGGTCGGGGCCCCTCCCTGGGCAGATGGAGCTCGTTAGCCCATAAGGCAATCCATCTACGTCCTGAGGACCTCACTGCCACCGTCCAAGCGTGCTTGGCCCCGGCAGATGAACCTCAGGATTAAAGGGTGGGCTCAGTTCCACGCACACTGTCTCACCTAAAAAAAAAATCCAATGCGCAGGCTGGAAGGTGGAAAGACCTTCCCCGGTTCTTCGTTCGCGAAGAGACTGGCCACACACTCATTTGAGCACAGCCTCTTCCATCGACAAATGTTATCCACAATTTCCACACAAGGAAGGCAGGGGGAAAGCAGGGCTGGAGACTTGAGAACAAACTGGAACTCTCTATTGAACAATGACTTGGAAGTTAAATTCCCTTAAAGAATAGGACAGTGGGGGTGGAAGGTATGTTGTGGAACACGTATACCACAAGCTTCAGCTACTGTACAACTATATAATTTCACATTTTCCTTTGGCTTGATGGGCTCAAATCCAAAAGCAGTGTTTACTCAAAGGTAAGCTCAGGGGTACAATGTCTAGAAGATGTCTGGAGATTCCAGATGAGTCATGAGAGACGAAGTACAACTACCTTATTAGTTGTTTACTTTATATAGTATGAACTCTGTAGGAAGCACTTCTGGATAGAGTTTCCAAAGCCATCGTTCTCTCTGCAGTGGCTTGTGAAACACCTACAGCTGAATGTTCAGTCTTCTTGAATTAAAAATCTATCTCCATGGGAAATCTAAAGAACTCTCTACCACAGATGGAGGTAGTCTGGGGAAAGTACATGCGGAGGCAAATCTGTTTTTTGTAGGGAAGTGTTAACTCCTTTGGGGAGAATCTAACAGATCTGTATCTAGGTTGAAAAAAAATTACATAAAAGAAGGAATCTGCTGTCTCTTTACTGAGGATATACTGTACAAAAATACTATAATCATTAATAAGAAGTGGGAAGCATAATGCTATGTGTTCGTATGAGGCACTGGTAAAAATTGAAAGGACTTGGTGAAATTGCACCTTTTTTTCAGATGGAAGTTTTGTCATTAGGTACTTCGGTAAAATATATGCTTATATAATGGATGTGGAAACACTACTTAACCATCCATTGTTAAATAACACACAAAATCACAACTGTATGGACTTCACTCAGCTTAAGGAACTGACATTTTGTCACTTTAGATGCTGGCACCTCACACAGCATAAAGGAATTTTCCCAGAGACTAATAAATTAATCCTGCCCGTCACAAAAATCTATTCCATAATGCTGACCACAGCATCACAAACTAAGGAACTTTTTATGTGATAGTTGTCCAGCTTCCTATAAAAACAGTGCTCACTGTGATGGAGAAGCAGAACTACACCTCAGGAAATTGCTTCACTCCTACCACACCACTTGTTTACTTTCGACAACACAAAATTGCTGATCCATAAGCAACTGATGCTGCAGTGGGAACTCTCTGGGGCTGGCAAAGGTGTAGTCCCTTTGCACCATATTTTTTGTGGACACATGTACAGAAGTGAGGAAAGAATGGGGGCGCCCTTAAAGGATATTAATGACATGCACCATGTATCCCTGAAAGCTCCAAGTATAGGGGTGCTCACATGCAGGACAGGTGATGTGTTACGTGAACACACCATCGGTCTTCTCATACAATCAGGATACAGGGAAGACTTTCAAATGTGGTGGGAAGAGAATCTAAACTTTCCTTTGCACAGTTCACAGCTTTCCCTGTAGACTCACTCTTCAATCTACCTGCTGAAATGAACAATTTTATTTAGCTGTAATATTTAGGTGTCATCAATAAGTGCTAGCATTAGGCAATCTCTCCCCGAGTGCTGTTTCAGGCCATCCACAGGTTCCACAAGACAGCACTCATAAAGACCGACATCCTTATTTTGTTTAAACTGGATGTACCTCACCAGCTGGCCAAACTAATCTGATTCCTAGTCACAGAACAGAATTCCCAATAATGGAAAAGTTTCGCCAAGGTATACAATTCCAATTGGTTTACCTGCTAACACAGCTTTTCTCAGGTGAAACATCTGCTGGAGAAATGTCCTGGAGAAATGTACAAAAGGCTCATTTGCCATGTTGACATTATCTTATGAAATAAAGATACAGCCTAAAAATTGTGGGAACACTGTATAAATAAAAAAAACCATGAAATGCTGATTAGAATGGGAATTCTTCACTAATACTGCTGTAAAAATGCATAAAATCTAAACTAAGATAATGTGAGGGTACACCAAATTTCATTCCTATTTTTAAAGATGATTCAGGAAGATTTTTAAAATATACCAGTAAGACTGTTAATCAAACTGATTTTCTGATTAACCATATTGACAGACTATCCATTATTTTCTTTTTAAGAAAGAGCAATGTCCTCTGTAAAAGCATGTGCAACCAGAATGAGATTTCTGTACTTGAAATACAACTTCAACGTTTCTGACAGGTGTTTATTCCAGATGCAGAATGACTATTCACTTTAGTGGCATTTCTGATGTTCTAAGTTTCATTGTATAGTCAACTTATTTTATCAAGGCAGCCTGAGAGACAGAAGTGAAATCTTTTTAATTGTTTTATACTATTAAGACTACTATAAAGTACCAACATAATTCAATTTACAATGGAAAAAAAGCAGCAATACTATACTTGGCTTAAAGTCTACATCTATATACAGACGTGTCCATTTAACTAAGCTTAAAAAACTCCAACCCCAAAAACCCTCGGTTCATTATGCATGAGGTCCTCTGGTTTTCTTTTCTTTCACTGTGGTATTATTTTAAAGTATAACTTCCCTTTAGAAACGTACTTCAGCTAGTTATCTCATGACTGCTGGTTTTTAGATCACCCATTCTGCAGTCATGTTACCACACAGAATTACTAGACACAAGATTCCAGCTATTTAACATATATACAGAGGGATGAATCTCAGGCTTTAAGAATACAATGCAACCAGTATGCCCAAGCAAAGTCCTTGAGGGGCAAAAGGAACATCAAAGCTCAGTGTTTTATACTGTATGGTGAACCTAACTGGACAAAAAATGTTTTCTCAGTTACATGTTACTGAAAAAAACCCAAACCATTCACTGAATGCTAATATGTATAAGGCTTCATGGTTGCTCCTGATTATTCATTTATTTATGAAATACCAGTTTGAAATGTTAAGACGCTGCATAGAAATATCTTTTTTTTTTTTTTAAAGAATGCTGGATCCTCTGGAGTCACACCCAGGGTTTCCATCCGGGAAAGAGTTGGCTCAGATTTTTAGGGTCCATGGCCTGCTGTATGAGGAGGTTCACTTGCCCTCCTACACTGAGCACTGTTCCCTCCTCAACACCTTTCAGCTTCTCCTGGAGTCTCATCAGAACACGCTCCGCCACTTTGTTAAAGCTCTGGTCGTCACTGCTGGCAGAAAAAAAAAGAAAAACAGGTGTTCTAGGTACAGACCCTGAACAACACCAGCAATATTCAGTAAGAAAACCATAAAGCAAGGCAAGAGTGCAGCAGGAAAACAGTAAGAAAAAAATCTTGCACCTGGCTTTTCTTTTACGTTCCTGTGGATCAGTATTGAGTGTAGAGCTCATGTCAGCCTCATCCTCTGGTCTCTGCTGCAGGTACAAAGCTTTCAGGGGGTTCATGGTCCAGTCGAAAAGAGGATCATAGAGCAGCACCTACACAGAAAACAATCCTGTTTTTAATTTAAACTGTTAATTACAGCTACTTCAGTGCCCTAGCACTGTTGGTAATGCTCACAGCTAACCACAATATTAGGAGGTTTAGGTGGTTTGGTTTGGTTTTTTTAACCAGTAGAATTGGGCTAAATTGCTTAGTAGATAATCCAACAGTAAAACTGCATCTGATCATTTGCAGGTATCTGTGTTGTTCGTACTTCAGCTCAGTTTTGCCACTCAGTCCCACCTAGCAGTGAATAGGTAATTTTTTAATACACTGCTAGGCACTAAAAAGAATCACTAGCGTTTAATGCAAAGTACAAGTTGCTCTTAAAAATGAGTTTCATTCTCTTCTTTGTGACTTATGCAAAGAGGATTTAATTCAAATGGCACTACTCCTGCTGGGAATGTTGCACTATGGCTAGAAACATTTAGATATTGAAGAGAGTAAACTGCCTGAAGGAAACAGTTCCCATAGAAAATGCTAACTAGTTAAAATTTTACTGAAGAATACATGAATTAACAAATCTGGCCAACACTACTACATTCAAATTCAGTACAAACCCTTTGCCTTAAATGAATATTTAGTGTGCTAATACATAAGAAGACCAAGACAAGAAACTGAAGACATTCTGGCAGGTTACTGTTCAAAAGAATAAGAAAATGCTTACCTCTACAATAGTCAGCAAAGCTTCTTGAGAATTTCTCATAACAGCCATTGTTTTCTCACAGCATCTAAAAACATTTTACTGCATTTTAGGTTCTTTTGGTAAAATGTAATGGCATTTTCATGATTTAAATAATGGATATTTGTATTCTACTTAAAATTTCTAACATAAGAGTAACCTTTCTTATTTCCATTTGGAAAAAAACCCACAAATTTAGACATGTAAGACCAGAAGGAGACTCTCTCGAAGAGAAAGGAATGACGTGTTTCACTGTCTGAGATGTCTCTATATACAGAATCAACCACTGAATTAACAGTGCCTGCTGAGGTGTGCCATGATGGCAGAATTGCTTGGATGAATGAAAACTTGTGTGCCAGAGGTGCTCTGCAACATGTTGGAGAACCTTGGTAGGGTTCCTTTATATGAAATGAACAGATCCAGAACCAGACATTAGCAATCTCTGGAATCTCTGCTATAGGTTTTGATTTAGAAGTTGTTATTCATGCCTACATTCACTCCCAAGCAAACTAAGCTTGTGTAAGGAATGTAGAGCTTTCCTGTGGGACAGGTACTCCACCGAAAGAGATTAGGCTTCTTGTCTACTTCAGGATGAGAACACCTCTCCCCACTCCAAGTTAACAGACCATGTTCACACACAATCCTGAAATGACGTGTTTATGGCATTTACACCGGTACTGTTCATTGCAAATCAGTCTGGCTGAGGCAGAAACAGAATCTGCATCAGTGCCTTTTATGCTGTATTTACTTCAGCTGGGGCCAGGCAATTCATGCTTTTCTGTATCATGGAGCAAAAATTTTAGAAGTAAAACAAAACTGTAAATTTAGAATAGAAGTGGCAGTGACTGTTTCTTCACGGGACTAGTACACAAAGGTGTACTAGGAACTACTTATTAATGTTAATTGCTGCCTTAGAAAGACAACACTTAGACTATATACTTTTTTAAAGACATTAAATTTGGGGTATGCAAGCACTACGTTGATGAACATCACCAAAGTCTGGAATGAGAGAAATGTCCTGCTTCTTAGGGCTCTCATGGGTCATTCACAGGATATAGGATGGAGATTGACAGAAACTCAGCTCTTTGGGGATTTTTCTGTTTTGCAGTTCAAACCTATTGTAGGATTTATATTTTGTACTTGCCAAGCGGTATTAAATATATGATCCAAATGGGGAAAAAGACTCCACCTTACTTACATAAAACTAAACAGAAATTAGAGTTAAACCAAAATTTGTTCAAAGATATTTAACAGTTCTGAATATACAGTATAGCTCTGAAAGAACAACATAGTTCTGAAGGAAAAAAAATGTCATTATTCTAAATCAGGGGTTAGCTGTGGAGCCTTTGGAAATGCCCCCTCTGAATGCCACAAGTGGGCGACAATAACCCATTAGCTAATGAGGAATATAAAACACTGAGCAGCAATTATGAACTTGAAATTGGTTATATAAATGTGAGCCCATAACTTAAAGGTAAGCATTTAGGTATTTCATCGTTCATGTTATCAGCAGAAATCTGAGTGTCCCCTCTAGGATCAGAACTATTTAACATGTAACAACAATCATAATGCTGGAAGTACTCTGCTGCCTCCTTATCCCCATGCACTATGGGAGCACTTACCTTCTGAAGACTCCTTCCACGCCAGTAATTCCCATTCCATCCACAATGTCCCTGGTCAATCTAAATGGAACAGTCTCTGGTGTGGGAAGGATTTTACCTTGCTCAAAGGCAACCCCTAAATGAAAGGATAATAAATGTTTTAAAAGAACTTAAACTAAAGAAAAATTAATGTTTTCTCGCCTGTCCCACTTACCCAGATCTATATGCACTAGTTCTGCCGTTTGTTCATCTATCAAGATATTCTGAACATGTCTGTCTCCAAGTCCAAGAATGTAGCCAACTGAAAACAAAAAGGTGAGTGCTGAAACCATATTTACATGTAATAAAAAACCAGAGAATGCTTAAGAAAGATTATTAAAATCACTGTAACATAGGTGCAAACAAATTACTAATGAGAATATTTTTCTCCCATACATAGATATTACCCCAGGAAAGTGCAAATGCCATTCCACAAACCGGAAAAGTTTAACTGAATGCAATTGCAAAAATGTTGTTTTCGTACAGATGTGTATTGTTTTATCTACTCCACAGACTTCTTGCCCCTTTCTCTTCGTAGGTAGGTTTATCAAATATTGCAGCATTCAAAAAACAAAAAGATGAAAATGAGGTGCATAATAAAATTAGGTTTTGTTACTATTACTGTTTTATTTAAAAAACCCCCAGAACAACAAACCAACAACTGACTTTTGCCTAAGTCAGTTTTAAAAATCTCCAGTGATCCAAATTATCAGATCTTTCATGTAAAGCCTATTTCAGTGCTTTACTGTCCTTAAATCAGACAACCTCCAAACAACTTTTCCCTTGGTGCAATTTATGCCCATTACTGTTTTCATCAGCTGATGATCAGCAGCAGTATTTCCTACTAAACTCATTCATGAAAATTCTGCTAAACTGTAGATTTACTTCCTTTTTTTTTTTCATCAAAAAAGGAGGGTATGAACATGTTAGCATCTAAAATGGGATCTACTGCAATGTATACAATTTACTAACAAATGTCTTTGAGAGTCTCATTACAGAACTGAGCCATCCAAAGAAGATCCACAATCCAAGTGCATCTTTATTAGGACAGAAAAAAACAAAGGAAAAATGCCAGAGCCTAAGTAACCATTTCAGCCATGGTTGATGATGCCAGCACAAAGAAAGTAAAAGACTGAGCTTTTCAACTCAGATAAAACATTTGAGGCTACACATGAAATGCATGAATGTTAAATAGAAAAAACAGAAATAAACAGTCAGGTAGAAACTTTAAAAAACACTACCAGAACCTAAAAATACAAACCACTCTATAAAACAAATGCAGAATTTCATTCTGTCTTTCTACTGCTGCAGATATGGGGCTGGGGAGGAACAAATCAGAAATCCTAATTACAAAAATAATGGTGGTGTTCTTGCTGGAAATTTTTGCCCCCTGTTATGCCTTTTGTGGCATGTGATAAAAGCAGAACACTGCTTCTAAAACGGTATAAACTTTTTGGTTACATAAGCTAAAAAACCAATATAACTAAGACCATGTAATACCTATAGAAGATGTAGCCACACTACGAGTGTATGCCAATCGTTTTTCAAACCACACAGCTGGATCCGGGAATTTTTCCATGCAGAAATATCGAAACACAGGTTGAAAATTCTCACAGACTTGCAAGAAGATTCTGTATTTCTCTTCAGGTTGTTTCTTTTGTGCATCCTTTAAACACATATGAAATGTTTTACCCATGATTAACTGCTTTGGAAGGAAATTACATCTTCCTTTGGAAGAACAGATTCCTACTTTCTACCCTCTCCCTCCAACAAATGCTATTCTCACTCCTTTCTCTTTTTGAGCTATGAATTATTGTCTCTTTTAAAGCAATTACTAATACACCTATCTATCTGTTTTACGAACAATTACATTTTCACACAAAACTCATGGGCTAAAAAATGTGGAAAAAACCCACACTCCTATTTCTTTGGTTCAGCAGGTGCACGTATTTTATAGGCATGTACACGTAAATGCATCTTGTTGGAAGACACTTCCATTCTCGGCACTCTGTTCTGGCACCTTTGCTTACCTGGTGGCTTCATGTCACTGTGAGAAAGTCCTTCTCACTCATTCCCACGCAAAAGGTGCACAAAGGCAAAATTACTTTTATCCTGTTAATGCTATAGATATTTCAAAGGAAGTAATTTCTTGCACCATCAAGGGTATATAAAGTAACAGGCAAATCTGTCTGCAATTTTCTAAACTGTGGTCTGCTAAAAGTAAAGAAAGTACAGAATTCTCTGTAAATTTCCGCCCCTACCCCCCAACCCCCTGTAAATATTATAAGCCAGCTATTTTTTTGGGTGTTTTTTAAAGTTGTTCTGACTCACCATCATTATTTTTTGACATTGATAACCAGAGTAATCTCCTGGCCTGTACCTCCTGTGAGCTCCTTGTTCGACATTGACTAGAAACTCCCCAATGGGAGTTGTTCCTGAACACCACTCGAGAACACCACTTCTCTGGGAAAGGGGAACCACCTGTAAAAACAAAACTATGGCTGCATGGGGGAGGGCTAGACACACAAAACTATGAATAGGCACCCTGCAGAGCACGGGTGCACATTTGTGTTTGTTTATAAAGACAAAAAAGGACAAACCATACAACTGACCAGAATACATGTTTTAAATACTCACGTATACGTATATATTTCTACCAAATATTTGCAATTTTTATCTAGCCCAGAGAACTTTCCCCTAGAATACTTCAGTACAACTTAACAATTCTCCTCAATGTGCATGTTTGTGTTGGCATTCTGGACGACCTGTGACAGCCAACAGGTCACTCTGTTGGAATGGGATAACACAGGCACTGTGCAGCTTGCATACAGTAAGTAAAATCTCACACAAACACATGGCAGCTGTGTGAACATATTAGGCTTGTCTTAGTCTGCTTCCCACCCCAGGGAACAATTGCTCACTGCATGACTGGCAGTAAAGCTTACCTCAATTGCTGTAGCACCGGCCAGAAAGAACCATCTCCTGCCCTCAGTAAAACAGTTACTGCCTTTTTCCTTCAATCTCCTTTTCTTAGGCAAGTGTCTTTATCTCATAATGTGACATCCATTCTATTTTTTCCCTGATGTCATTCATTTTTGCACACATAAAGCCCTGATTCTTAATTGAAGATTATTCAAAAAGTGTGACTTGAACTCCGCCTGAGAATTCTTAAAACCACACTAGCAGTTCAGATAAGCACCTTTAGAGATTCCAGAGTGCATATTTCCCATTTGTCAAAGACAAGAGATTATCCTTCAAGAATACTTATTCAGAGGTCACCTTCACAGCTATTATTATAATCCCAAGCACATAAAAAGGATGGAGGAAGGGAAAGTTCCTCTTCAAATACATTTTCTGCATTCACAATAAAAATGTATTGCTGTATTTTCAATTCCAGCAAAAAAGTTCTGCAATTCAAATTCTGCATGAATAGACCCTAGATGGGACTTCTGGATTCAATTGTAAGGGATACTGCTAGACTAAAATTAATTATTAAGGAATATCACAAGACAAATTAATGAGAATTCATAAACACACTTGAATGCTCAAGTCTAATGACAAGAAACTTACAATTCAAGGTTAGTGCATGAGTTGATTTCTTCTCAGTTACAGGTTCATATAAAGAAAGCTTTGAAGAGTATTTAAATATACATTGGGCATCAGAAAATTATTTTAAGGGCTCAGAAAAAATTAAATAGTAATAATTAAAATGTACTGTTTATTCCATACCTTAAGGAGCAGTGACTATCTTAATAACACATAAATAAATATCCTTTTATATTGTCTTTGGATTAAAAAAGTGGAGAATGGAGAAATACACTTTATTTCTCTGCTGTTCAGGGTTACCTTGTATCTTCGGATATTTAATTTTCTCTTTCGTGTTTCAGTGTTTTGCTGGAGCAATGTATTGCACATCTGGAAAACTTGTTGCATGACAGCATCTTGTCTGAGGTCATCACGCCCCTTCAGCAAAAACAGAAAAAGCAGTTAGAAAACTTTTCAGCATCCAACTTCTTGTTCAGCAACTAAAAAAAATTATTAAAAAAATTGCACAACCCCCAAGTTACTTTTCCATAATAATCACATGCAGTAAAATGTAATTAACAATTGCTTTTTTTTCCTCTGTATTTGGTTTTCTAATAGCACTCAGCTGCTTAAACAGAACCATCATTAACTCAAATCATTACCTTTTCCTTTTATCCTGGCAGATATTATTTGATTAAGATTTCAATCAACCTACATGCCTTACAGCACCCTTTTTAAACACAGATGTTTCATTCAACCTATTTAGCAACCCAGCACACAGCTGAAGCAGCATCAGTTGGCAGTGCAGTTCTGATTATGGGATGCAGATTTATGCTTCTCTTTAAAACTTTCAAAACTACACCATACTTAACAACAAAACAGAATTCTCCCAGGAGCTGCTCCACGTTCACATTCAAAGAGAGAATGAAATCAGATGAGTCTAAAGAGAATTTTTTAAGAGATTTGTATTTCTATGTGTATGCTTTTGATTGTCTCTTAATTGTAAATTTATTTTTTTTTAATATGGGGAAGAAAAAAGGAGGTATTTAACAGAAAATTTGATGGGTTTTATTTACTGTACATTCCAGGTCAGCAGCTAAGACATGACTAGGCAAGTCACAGGTCTGGTAGTTGTCAGGTAAGCTACTGGATATAACATGCACTGCTGAAAAATAATTACAAAAAAATTAATATAATTACTTATTATTTATATTATACTATGATTATACTACTTACAAATACTTTGCAATTTCCTTCATTAAAGTATTCCTCAACTGACACTGAAACGTGAAAAGTCTGCTCATGGTACAGAAGTGATACATTAGAAAACTGACAGAACTTAAAAAAAAATTCCAGCATGCCAAGTCTCTGACACGTCATTACAACTGACAGAACATACCTTAACCAGCTGCCTCCTTTCTTTACCATCTGATCCTACACAATCTATTATTTTAGGCAGATTCATGCCTCCTGCTAAAAGAAATTCTCGCTTGAAAGATCTTATTGTGACCAAATTTTCATATTGTCCTGTGGGATCCACCTGAAATTATAAATAAGTTGAAATTAATATAAATATTACCTCCGTTTCACTCAGAGAAAGTGGTAATGAGTTGTTTGCAAACCTCATTAGCAGACTATATGCTAAATTTTAATGTGTATTCCATCATTTACAAGGATAATACCTACAAAGGCTACAAAACTATGCTGAGCAAAGGAGTTTTTTTTTGATTCCTCCTTGTTCACCTCATTGGTAGAGGGGACACGGTGCTGCAGATTTCCACTAGACAGGCTGTGACAATGTTAACCTGTCCCAGCTAGTACTGTCCCAAGAAAATGTTCACACACAGCTGGGGGCATTAGGCTTACACTAGGCTGCAGATGGGCCCAATCTACAATCCTAATCCTGCTGCAATTTACAGGATCTGTATCTTCAGCCACTCTCCATATCCTGGCGTCATAAAGCAACCCTACTCAGTTAGCTGTAATGAAATACTACTCCAGCAATTTACATCCCAGACCTGCAACCATTTCAGTCAGTTTACATGGGAGAAGAAGAAAGGTGAAGAAAAGAACAATCAAATTGTACAGAAGAGCAACACCTGGGGCCAGCAGAAGCCCTACAAACAAATGTTATTTAGCATGGGTGGCAATTTCTGGCCTCTGAAGTCAAACTGCATAAAGTAGTCCCTTGATTTACTCAGCTTTATAGACGTAGCCTGAGGGGCTTCAACACAAGGAAGTCTGGCTTAGTAACGTTTAAATCCAGGTGCTGGCCCAAAAAGCAACTTTACGCTCCTGAAACTGATAAGTTCCCTAGGTAGAGCACGAGGCATTGAAAAGTGAGTGCCTGCCCATCCAGTCAACCACTCAGGCTAATAGGAATGGATCATGCCCCATTACTGAATGGTAAAAACATACAAGCTGGCCATTTAGGAACATATCCATTAATTCTCACACCTTCGGGACATTAAGTATCTCTGAGCTAGCACTTACCAAACAGGAGATGCAGACTCCTGAACCCTCTCTGTGATTTAGATAGTTCATCATCCCTTCTGATAATAAAAGACTAGTCCGTGGTAACAGTGGCAAAGCCATCTTCATACAATAAACCACTATCCAGCAAATATAAGACTTGGTCTTCTAAAGCCTAAGGAAACAATCTCACCCTGCATCTCCGAGCTGACAAGGAAGTACTCTGATAGGCTGACCTATAAAGAACATGGGAGTTGGATGAAAAGATATATGCCCTGACTGCCACTACAAAAGCTTGAAGCTGATTCTATGATTTGATATTATAGGTTGTATTTTTTTACACTTCAGTCACCTTAATTTCCATGGTAGGAACAACAACATCCAGGTCCTTCAGTTTAATAATTGGCTGGTCAGCTGGAATACTTATTTGTTCTGTAATTAAAAATAATTGATAGTTTTAAATTCAGAACTAGAAACATAAATCAAAATTGACAAAAAAACAGGTTACATTGTTTCTGGGACCCAAAACCTCACTGTAGACTTCTGTCAAGCTGATGATGATGACCGCAAGACAAATGGAGATTTCTGGACTTCGATACTTAAGAGTCTGAGCCTTACAGTGCAAGTAATTACTATGACTTCTAATACAGACTAAGTTCTACATCTACCAAAAATAGGACAAAGTGCTAACACCGTATCTCTTTTAACTAAATATCAATATTTTTAATCTCAGAAAACAAAATCTATCTTCGCTATTAAAACAAACATTTTTCCAAGACTTACTTCTTTGAGATTTCCACGGAGTAGCATCTACATTTGCTAATGTGATGTAAGCATCACAAAGTGCTCCGATGTCTCTAACCATATGAGCTCTCTTTTTTCTTACGATATTGATTATAGTGCTAGCAGCCTCCATTCTGTCCTGAAAAAGACCCAAAGAAATACAAATATCAGCTCTTGCAAACTACACCTTGTAATATTAAAGATGTATCATAACATGCAGCCAATAAAGTACAACTGAGATATGTCCTACGAAAACAGAGCAAACTGCAATAATGGACAGCCCTTTGTGACATGAACTAAAATAATTAGAAGAAAAATTCTGTGCTGTCTAAGAGATGATGAATAATGTAAAATATTAATGGGGTTGGAGAGGGAGCAAATATGTCCAGGCAAAGTGCAAAAAAACCTTCAGAAAAGGTTTTCTGAAAAAAGGTCCTCTTCAGAAAAGAGGACAGGTAGGTCTGGATGTTCTCCCACCATCTGCCTGCTTCTGTTGCGTCCTCCCAGCTGTAGAAAAGTCCTGTATGCAAAAGGTAAAAACCTGACTATGCATTCCTTCTGTGCCTGACTCTGAGACACTTAACTGACTTTAGCATAATCCCACTCCAAAGGGTGGAACCACAAAAAACCTACAGATTTGAAAGAAAGGTGAAAAAAAGCCACATAAAAATGTGCTGAATAAATGTATGATTGTGGGGGTTAAGAAGGCAATGACACCTACAACAATGGGGGAAAGAATGGGCATTAATCTAGGGGAGGGATGATTCCAAAGACAGGTTCCAACAGAAATTAAGCAATAGCAACATTAACATGAAACTACAGTTCAGTATTACCTATCATCATGGCTTTTAATGTATAAAGGAACTTACTCCATTCAGGGTGTACTTTTATAACAATAAACCCACCCAAGCCTTTCTTGCATCTAAAATGCCTTTTACAGAATGACACATCAAGGACTTTTATCACAAAAGTCTCAGCAGAAATCGGGGCTATTTGTGGCAGGAAATGTTAACTGTATTTTGTTCAACCCCATAATTACTTCTTTCAATAATAATTACTAATGTACGCACAAAGGGGGTTTTTTATTATTAAAAGTATTTTTTCCCTCCTACTGTTTCTTAACAAAAGTCAGCTGATGAGCTCTGCACTAAAATGCCACTTGACATGTTTTTTTGTTTTGTTTTGTTTTTTGTTTTTTTTTTTTTTTTTTTTTTTTTTTTTTTTTTTTTTTTTTTTTTTTTTTTTTTTTTTTTTTTTTTTTTTTTTTTTTTTTTTTTTTT